GATTATACTGAGTTAGGTCCAGATTTGGCCATGTTTGGAGCAGGCTTATTGAAATCATTGGAGGCTGAATTATGCACGATTGACTTAATCTGCTGTCTTCAGGGGGCCTCGTTTACCCTGGCCCAGGCCAGAATAATTGGCAGTGGAATGGGGGAAATAATAAGGAAAGATAATTTTGAAGATCTTGATAATAATAATAAAAATTAGCTGCCTTCTAACCTCATTTATCTTAAATCTAGTGTCAATCCAGGCCAGAGTAGGCCCATTGAACCAAATGAAGTTTACGTCCATGTTGACTGACGTCCTCACTCTGGGGTCTCTTCCACTTTCCTATAAATGAATCCTCCATGAACTTCTTCTATCTGATTTTTTTTCCTTTGCTTTTTCACAGCTGATACAACTAAAATTCCATAACAGAGGGGAAGTGACATTGTTGGGAGGTCTCTCTCTCTCTGTGTGTGCATGTATGTGTGTGACTTTTGGCAAAGGCTGTGTTTTTCCTTTGAACCAGATGCCAGAGAAATGGGGTCAGGAGGAAGATGTAGAGGAGAGACTCCTTTGCTTTCCCTGCTGGAGGATCAGGTTTCGTTCCTCTGCATCACAAAAGGGGCTTGAAATTACAGATCATCTCCGGGGCGGGACCTGCTGTTTTCCTTCTAAATGTCAAAACTGATTAGGTGTATCACAGGGAGGTAGAATAACTATCAGACTTAATACGATTCGACTGGTTCCTTTTTCTTTTTTATGACAGTCATCCGTTGTGTAGCTTTTGTGTGCTTAAATGTGCAGTGTAGACTCTAATGTACATGAATAAAAGAGTAGGCTGTAGCTGTTAATCTAAAAAAGGGTGGTGTGTATGTGTGTGGGGGAGAAGAGGCAGTGTTGGTTCCCCAGCCTCTGAGCCTCCATAATTAATAAGCATGGTACTACGTCATGGAAGGGAAGCTGGCAGGCCAGAAGGAGCATAAAGAGCAGGTGGTCCAGTGAAAAAAGGCCAAAGAGATTTCATAATTCTGGCATGTCTCTGCCGTGAGTTTTGGACAGCTTGTCTGCTGGAAGTCTGGAAACCTCGTTCCCCTGTGGCATAATGTGCAGAAGAGTTCATTTCCATCGAACCCAGAGTTGTGGTGTGCACAGCTCCCATCTTCGAACATCCTCTGAGACTCTTCGGTGCAAAGAAATGTTTGGGTGCCACTTCCCCCCCCCTTGTTTCTCCTTGGTAATATTCCCCGTGCAAGATGTTCATCTTGTCTTCGTGCAGATGGGCTGGAGCAGAAAGGTGGGTGGCTGAGATTTGAATCCAGAGCTCCTGACTCCCAACTGTTTGTTTGTATGTTGAGTGCCTTTGTACATGGCCCAATAAGAGATGCTTTCTGGACAGTGGACAAAAAAACCCCAAACAAACAGAAACATTAAATTGTGAAACGTAAAATGAAAACCAAGCTCAAACCTGGCAGCCGAGAAAGGACCAAAAAGCCCTGGTATGTTTTCAAAACAGAGAGAGAGAGAGAGAGATAGGTCTGGGGAAATAAAAAGATCTTTAGAATATATTAATGTCGGTGAGCTTCTCTAGTTTTCTGGATGGATCAGGAGAATCATAGAATCATGGACCTGGAAGAAGTCTATGAGGCCGTCGAGTTCAACCCCCTGCTCAAGGCAGGAATCCAAATCAAAGCTGATTTGACAGTCAGTCATCCAATTTTCTCCTGAAGGCCTCCAGCGTTGGAGCACTTCACCACCTCCTGAGGTCATGGGTTCCCTTATCGTACTGCTCTAACCGTTAGGAAGTTTTTCCTGATATTCCACCGAATTCTGGCTTCCTTTAACTTGAGTGTCTTATTACATGTTCTGCACTCTGGAGGATGATTATTGGGCCTTGTTAGAGCTGCTCAGTCGGTTCCTTCTATTGTGTCTAAGACTTCGTCGATCTATACTTCTCAGCTTGCGTCTCCCTCCGCCTTCCGATTCAGCTTGATTCACACTGACCTCTTCTCCCTCATGCCTGAAGATAATAAATGGTGAGGAGAAAGGGCCACCCGTGGAATCATTTCTCCAAATAACGTGGAAGACCTTTTCTCTTTCTCTCCAGCTCTCTCTCTCTTTGGAAGTCGCTTTTAAAAGAACAAAATCGTTGAAAATCAAGGACACAGAGGGAAACAGCTGAGATAATATTTATACTCATGATGGACACCCCATAGAAATGGATTGAATATAAGCCTAGCTTTTTTAAGTCCACCAGATGTAATACCTCTGCTGTTATCTACAGCCACTGTTATTTTATTTTCACAACTACCAAGCCCCATCTCTCATTAATTCATCTGCCATCTTACTTCATTTTTATATTTAATATTCTCTTTTTCTCCCTCTCTTGAGTTCTAAGGGTATCCCCGGTCTTCAACCCACCCACCCCCAAGCCACTCCTCACACTTCGCTTTCCTCCCTTATCTTTGCCCAGACCTGGTGTTTGTTTTCTGTCTCCTGAAGAATTTTTTACAACAGAGCCCTAAAACAACATAAGCCATAAATTGCTGCATGTCAGTGTTCCATACACCCAAGAGCAAAGGGGTATTTAGTGTGAAACTGATCTTTCATTCAGCATTTCATTCTGTTTTCATAGGTCTGACGAAATGGACGTGTCCACGAAAGCTCACCTTAGAATATAATTGTCTTTAAAGTGCCGCACATGTTTTTTTTTCCTTGTTTTGTCCCTTTTCTCCCTCTTTTTCTTAAATCTATCACGCTAGTTCCCAAAGAATTACAGGTCTTGAGTCTCACTGTAACCAACTGAGGGATATTTTAATTAATGACGCCAAATGGCTTGGGCTCCCCGGGCAGTTCTCCAATCTGTTTAAGCCTCTGAAATAACTCAAAGAAAGGAACGTTACTGCATTATAGATCATGCTTAAGGGAAATATTCATAATTGTGCTGATCAGTTGACTAAGGGACCCTGTAAAACCGAAAGCCTGCCACGTGAGTCAAGATCCTAAACCAAATCTTATGAAATCTCCAATCCCACTGTCTCTCTATCCAGTACAAATACATTTTTAAAGGGGGGGGGGAGAACACAACTCTTTGCAGCATTAGAAGCAATTGCCTGAGAATTATGACTTGATTCCCAGCTTGGCGTGTTGAACTACAGTTGTGGCACTTGTAAAAAGGATCTAGGGACTTTTAACAATCCATGAAGTGAATCTGAGTCAGCCATGTGATGCCCTGGGGTGGAGAAAGCTGTTGCTATCCCTGCGTTGGGTCCACAGAAACACAGGGAAGCCTTCTCTTCTGCTTTGGTCAGCCGTCAACTTGGAAAACTGTGTCCATTTCTGGACACCACAGGTTAAGAAGAATATGGACCAGCTGGACTGTTTCCAGAGGAGAGCCAGCAGGATGATTAAAATTGGGCTTGTTTAACTGGGAAAAGAGAAGGCTGAGAGATGATCCAAGGGCCGTCTTCAAATAGGACAGATGGAGCAAAGCAAAGGGCGCCACTTACATACCCACCCCACCCCATCCATAGTGTTTAAAGCTGTCTCTGGGAGGTTTACAGTTGAATTATGCAGGCTACACATGGTGTCCCCCCCCCAAAGGGAGCTGGGTAATCAATCAATCTGCCAACTTTGGAAGAATGGAAGGCCGAGTTAACCTTGCCCTGGCTACCTTGAGCCCGTTGGGATAGGACTCGGGTTGTGAGCAGAGTCTTCTCTGCAGTCCTGCAGTTTAACCGCTGTGCTAGAAGGTGGGTGGGCTCAACTTCTTTAAAGGTTTTTAAAGAGAAGGCAGGGGTGCCTAAGGGGTAGGTTTGATGGGGTCCACCTTGGCAAACCCTGTGGTTCCCTCCATCTCTGCGATGCTACGATGCTATGACTCTGTAATAATTCAGAGGAATGGTGGAGTTGGTGGTTGAGGAGCCTTCCGGAGGGCCGTGCGTTGGCCCCGTTCCTCCTGGAGATGGAGCGATTCCAGGATTGCTCTTCCTTTCTTCCTGAGTCATCCATGGGTTTAGAAGCCTGGCCTCCGTCCTTCCTTCTGCCTCCGTTTGCAGAATGTAAGCCAGCTTTGGATAATCCGCGGAGCACTTAGACGGATGAGGCGTCGGATCGGAGCGCTGAACATGGAGCTCTGCCGAGAAACAGAGAGGCTTTGTGCTAATTTCTCCCCTCCCTGCAAGATGCATGCGGCAAAAAAGGGGGGGAGGGGTGGGGTGGGATGAGAAATTGCCTGGAGTGTCCTCAGTTCGGAATTGTCTGCTTGGTTGGCTTCATGAAAACACGTCTTTTTTTAAAAAAAAAAAGACTGTTCAGGATGGTTTTCATCATAGATCGTGCTGGCATCCGAAGAAAATTAAAAGTGCCCAGTTAAAAAGCTGGTCACGGGATCAACCCAGTATGAAATCAACGGCCAAAGAGATGTCGTTTTTCAGGCGAGAGATACGGGGCATTTCAGAAGGCCAGGGGGTCGTGTGGAAGTTTTGGGGCTGTGCTTACAGTTTTGGAGCAGAGTTTTTTTGGGCTACAAGGGTGGTGGAGGGCACCCATGGCCGTGGTTCCCCTACTCACCGTCCTGCCCGCTCCCCCAACTCCAGAATAACACATGACCCCCGCGGGAGACGGGTTTGATGGGGGAGGAAGTGAGTGGGTGTGCAGGCATGTTCATATCCGTCTCAGAGTTGGCCCGGAGAGATGGACCAGAGAGGCGGGGGAAAAAACAAGATGGGGGATACTTGGCTTTTCAATACTACGATTGAGAAGGGTCTTGGGGTTGCTAAAGATCCCAAGCTGAATTTGAGCCGGCAGTGTGACGCGGCTGCAAAAAAGCCAAAGAAATGTGAAACAGTAGCAGGCGGCTGTCCTTCCTTGCTAAGTTTCTAACTGAAGGTTGGATGAGGAGAGGAGGTCTCTGGATTTCCTCTGTTGGCGGAGGGTGGTGTAGATGACCTTTAGGAACCCCTTCTCCCTCTCCGATTCTGCAGCTCAGACCCACAGGCACCCCGAACCCAAGAGAGGGTTGGATGTTTTTCAAACAAGTCCACCCAAAATGTGGAGGGGGGGGCCACAGAAGGAACCCTGGACTTGGAACGCGTTTCTTCCTCCCACGCCATTGATCTGTCTTTAAAAAAAAAAAGAAAAGCAGGGAGCTCCGCTCCCTGTCCACCCATGGTGCTGTGCCTCCTGAACCCGTCTCTTCCCGTTTTCTCTCTTGCAGGCAGTGTGATTACGATTTCGGGGCGCATGACCTTCACCAGCAACAAATCCATGGAGATCGAGGTCTTTGTGGACGCCGACCCTTTTGTGGAGGAGCCTCAGGACCGTTACCGGGCCGTCAGCGCCTTCTTCACCTACGTGTCCCTCAGTAAGGAAGGGAAGCCCCTTCCTGTCCCCCAGCTGGCGGTAAGTGCCACCATCCTCACCTCTTTCCCCCCCCCCCAAAAAAAATACTTTAAAAAAATGTATGAATTCTGGATGAGCTTTTTGGAACTCGGATATGTTTTCCCCCTTTGGCCCACATTCCTGGGATGACTCCAGACGATGCTGCATCTTGGGAGGGTTTAAAAGCAAACACGAAAACCCTGCTCTGCTTTTCCAACGGCATTTAAGCATAATATTTAAACAAAAGACACAGCATTGTGAGCCGGCCTCTGGGGTGGTGTTTTTCACTCTCTGCTTCCAGGGTGGGAAGGTCGCTTGAATCAGGGGTTTTTTTTGTTCAGAAGGATGGTATGTACCCGTAATTCAGCTTTTTTTAGGCAAGGCCCCAGAGGTGGACCTTTTCTTTTGTTTAAGGTTCTCCCTCCCATGGTTAGTTTCTCCAAATCTAGTTCCCTGGGTTCCCTAAAATAATCTCCTCTTTGTGAAAGCAAAGAATAGTTTCTGCCGCACCCAGAAAACAAAAAGCCGTCCTAGCTCCTCTCAGGACAGGCATGCTTGTCTCTTTTTCTCCTTTGGCCAAAGAGGTTTGGTAGGCTTCCAGAAACCTGCCGGACCTGTGCAATCGGACAGAACAGTTGGACAAAGATAGATGTGGGGGATAATTGTGCTTCAGCATCTTCTTGAACCCCGTCTCAAGATTTATATTCTAACAACACATTGGAATATAAGTGGATGTTCCTTCCCATCCCCTTTTTCTGCCAGGACCACAGACCTGCCATCTCTGGGGAAAGGATGCAACCCTTCTCCCATTTCCACCATTTCCCACCTCTACGGAACCCCCTTCCTTCGACCCCAGTTCCCTCGAAGGAGCTTGCTTTCCCTGCCTTTCTTCACCCCGAGGTACATCTCTCTCTGCCCGCCAGTCTTCCCACAGTCTTTATGACCAGGGGAACAGCCGGAGCAAGGAGCGTGTGGCCTTTTCTTCCTGTACCTTTCTAAAACTGTTTTAAATTATAGATGTTCTGGTAGGCTTCACCAAGCTTCTCGGAACCCAGCATGCCTTTGACTTCTGTGAGCGCCTGCCTTTCTCTCCTGCTGCCCTCCCTTCCCGAAATCTCCTTCTAGTGTGCTTTTCCTACCTGCGATTGTCAATTCTGCTTACACACACACACACACACACACACACTTCCTTTCTGGTCTATTTTTAGCTGCCTCTGCCACGGCAGCTCTTTTGCCGAGACAGCGGAGAGGGAGCGAAACGACTGAGCGGTTCCTCGATTAATATGTTATACCCTGTTGATCTCCACTCATGTTCTTCCAGTGTTTCAAAGCCTCTTGCCAGCTAGGCTGGGGTCTTGCCATCAGGGTTACGTTTCTGTAATTTGTTCATGGCCCAGAGAACAAAAGTCTCGTGATTGAGTTCCCTGCTGTGAAAACTCTCTCTCTCTCTCTCTCTCTTTCTCTTATATTTGATACAAAGTGAAACAAATGGTAAACATGGAACAAGAACGATCTTTGCTTCTAAATTTTTGCTGTCCGTTAATACCTTCTGGAGTTCCGAATCAGCGGCTTGGCCCTGCAAGTGCCTTGCTGACACTCCTCTGCTTTTCTTTGTTGCTTTTACTTATGGGTTCGGGAGCCACTCCAGCGAAAACACAGGAAACCAGATCTTCGGATGGAGGATAAGGAAAAAAAAAGCAGCCCCTGAAAGGAGGGCCGCTTTGGCCTCTCCATCAGCCACTCCTCCTCTAAGGCAGAAATCTCTAAAGCCTGGTGAAAGAAGGAAGGTTTTACAGCCTTCCACAAATGAATGGGACTTCTGCTGCCTCCGGGTCACAGCTGTCAGGCGGGGGGAAAGTGGGTTAACCAGAACAGGGCTTAACTGGATGAATGCAGGTGGCCAGGAAGGGAGCAAGGAGGGAGAAGCGGCTGTCGCTCGTTTTTTCAGCGGTGGCTTCAGAATCGGTACCCAGAAGCAAAACCATCTGTGCTCCCTGTTCTTGGACAGTGAGTCTGGGATCCTATCCCTTTTGATTAAGAGTACCACTAGCTTGGCATTTCTCTTCCCAGAGGAGAGCTGGAGAAGGAGAAGATTTGGGGTGGGGGTGTGTGGGGAATCCCTCCCCTCCGTTCCTCTCTTCCTTCTTGTCCTCTCACTCTGAGAAAGGGATTCTCTTCACCCGCTCTCCGAAGAGCCCACGCTGGGTCTCTGCATGAGTCACCAAGAAGAGAGGCGGGCCTGTTAGGCACAGCCAAAGAATCAGGACGCAGGGGAGTGAGGACGAGCGATTCCTTGTGTCATTGGGGAAAACCGGCAGCACCCCTGGGCAAAAACTGGAAGAATGGCCTGTCTCGGGTTCGAATTAAAGCGGCCAGGCCAAGGCGCTTGACGGCACAGCACCCAACCCCTCCCCAATAGCGACGTGGAAGAAACAAGGTGATGGGCGTCGTTCTGGAATTCCTCCTCGGTTATCCCCACGTCAGCCAAGGAGATGCAGCCAGAGGGGTGTCGTTGCTTTTAAAGCCCCCATCGCCCCACTTTCAGAAGGAGGCAGCTGAGGGGTATTCTCCCCCCCCAAAAAAAAACTTTCTGGAGCACCACTGTTCCTTTGAGGTGAAAATGGGAAAGGATCACCCCCTTTTCTTTTTTGCAATTTTCTTTCCTTTTTTTTCTCTCTCTCCTTCTCCTAAAAAGCCTGGCTACATAGATGCCATTTCTCCAGAATGCCCAAGTTGGAACAGAGAAGGATTGGGAGCTATAAGATAACTTCAGGGAGGTTTTCCTTTTACCTTCCTCAAGTTTCTGGGGACCAAGCAGCCAGGGGTGTTGACATCTGAGCAGATTCCCTTTGGCAGGTTCCTTTTGCTTTTCCCCGCCTTTGAAAACCTCCGAGCAGGGACCGTTTCCTCTTAGCAAGCCAGCACCACCTGCGTGCTTTTTGGCGATGGTCACCCTCCGGCCCCCGGCTCTCAAAGCATCCACCGTCGTGTTGCTATTCCCATCGGGGCAGCGCCAGGGTAACACAGAGGGGCAAAGCTGCATAAGAGATAGACGGGCATGTCTCGAGCTTCTGAACCACATTTTCTTTTTTCTTTAAAATGTTCAACGTTCCAGTGAAGTGCCAGCCCCTGGCTCCTCATCGCCTGTGTGGGATGCAGAACCCATGGGATCCTGGGGCAAAATCCAGAAACAAAGACAGGCAGTCCCAAGCCATAGGGAGCCGTTGTAGCTCAACCAGGACTCCTTCCGTGGGGTGGAAGTGGGAGCCATTTGAGGGCTGCCGAGGTCAGTACAGTATTGATACGATGCCCAGGCAGGCGTTTGCTGGCCTAAGGGCATGGGGTGGGACAAATCCTTGTCCTGCCTCACCCAAGGAAGACTTTTGCCATGCCCGGGTCCTTTCAGTGGGAAGGTGAGAAAGAAGGGGGGAGAGAAAAACGATGATATTTGCTGGTGATTTATTTTGTGTCCCACTTCTCTGGCACTTCGATCCACGCTAAAAATACAAATATACCCTAGACCTCAATAAACGGACAGATAAAGGGTTTTGAAATATACAAAGGAAGAAAGGCTACTGAAGGCTCGCTTTGGCCAGCAGAACAGCTGAAATGTCCAAGACTTCCCTGGATGAAAAGGTCTTTTGTCTGCAGCAAAAGGACCCCCACGAAGAGGGAGTCCTGGAGTTTGGGGGGGGCAGCCGCCAAGAAGGTTCCCCCCTCTCATAGGATCACCCAATATGCCTCTAATGGCACTGGAACGGAGAAAAAAGGCCTCTGGAAGATCTCGTAGCCTTGGCAGGCTTCTGTGGGGAGAGTATGACCCTTCCTATGGAGACTCGTAGGCCATCGCCTCTGGATTATGGGAGGACACTGGCTGGTGGCCCGAGGAGTTGCAGTAACAAGGGAACAGCGTGCTTCCTTTAGCTGGCCCCGACTGGCTAGCTGGTGGCGGCATTTGGCTCAACAGACCCTGCCGGAGGCTCTACAGAGTCAACCCCCCTTTGGAGCAGCTGCCTGGGCTTGTTATGGGATGGATCATGTTGCTTCCTCGCCAGAGTCGGCTTCTTCTGCCCATCCTTTTTCGGTGGCCTGGATCCTGCCCTCTGCTCTCAGTCTCTCCCGCCCTGAGCCAAAACATCATTCTTGGCCAACGCCTCTCCACCCGCCTGCTGTGCAGTGCAGGAGAGCCAGGATTCTTGGACGGCTGTTCCTGATCCCCCTGAATTAATGTTTGTCTTTTTTTGGGGGTGGGGGAGGCCTGCATCCCAGTCCCTCCTGCTGGGGAGTGGGGGGAACACACAAGCTTTGGGGGTGGAGGCTGGCCGAGCCAAGCGCTTCCGGGAAGCAGAGCTGCTTTGGGGAAGGTGAGGAGAGATTTCTCTTTTCTAACCTCATCCTCTCCACCCCTCCTTCCCTGCTGCAAACTCTCCCTTCCGACCTGACATATGGCAGCTCTAAACACCCATTTAATGAGACCTCCGATCTTTCCCTGGCCTGCTGCGCCCACGCATCGCCAGCAACCCATTTGGGGAGCTGAGCGCCGAGAGGCAAATTGAATGTCGAGTCAGGGAAAATTAGGGGCTCCAGAGGGGGGCCTTCCTGCCTTCTCCATTAAGCCCCAGCAAACCCAACTCCCCACGGCCTCATTTTGTTGTCAGGGAGTGACATCCTGGGGTCCCTGCTGTCTCGAGAAGCCCCAGAAGGAAGAAGCCGGTGTTTTGTCCTTTCAAAAGAAAACAAAAACCAGTTAGGATTGAACGAGGCCTCTTGGACCAAAATCAGGAGGGTCTTAATCTCTGCCAGGAGGGTTTCTATTCCTGCCCCGTCTCCTCTCATCCTCACCGCAGCGGCTCGCTGGGGACCCGTTTGGTTTATCTGAAGAGTCGTGGAGAGGACGGGGCGCTCTTTCGGCCTCAACTGTGTTGGTACGGTTTCATTTTGCTTGATCCGGAGACACTGGGGTAGGATGTGAACATCTCTAGGCGGCTTTTCCGAGGGAGGTGGGAAGAAGGAAGACACACAGAGGACATTCTGCACTGGAGAGCACTGCCGCGAGGACGTCGGCCGAGAGCAGTCCCAAGGGGAGGCCTCCACATCCTTGTAAGAGAGAGACGGCATAGAGGTGTATGAAGCATCCTCCCCGCCCCCCAGCAATGAGCCTGGGTGCTGATCCCTCTCGCCTAGGGCTGGCAGTTCTCCAGGGATGGCCAAAATCCTTTTGCCTCCCTAAGTTATTTCCACCACTGGCTAATGAGATCATCAGCCCACAGTGATACGTTGAAAGAGAAGCCTTTCCGATTCTTTTCCCCTCAGGTCCTGAGGTTCCCTTGGAACCCCTTTCAGTTCTGGGGAAGCCATTCGGGAGATGCCGGGCAGGACAGAGGGACTTTTAATTTCCCAAGATCGTCACGACTGGGGTGACCTTACTGGCCAGATGCAAGAGGAAGCGATACCTTTAAAGACCATTAAAAATCGCCAGGCAATACACAAGCTTTCCTGGATCAAGGCCACTTTGTCAGGCCTCGTGACCAGTGTGACATAACCTAAAATCCAAAAGTTTCATGGCAAAGTGGTCTTGGCCAGAAAAGTTACTCTTGGATGTAAAGTCCAAAAGTCCTGGGCAAGGTGGATTTCGCCAGGCACGGTCTTTCTTAAACGTTTTTCACAGAAGAGGCAGGCTACATTAGTGCTGTTGTTTTAAAGTTACAGCTAAGGCAGCTGTGGACTGGCTGAAGATCATGCGCTGGTTCTTCAAACAAAGAGGGACACTGTTCTTTTATTTCATTGGCAGAAGCAGTTTTTGGAAATGAAATGCCCGCCCGCCCCCCTACCTCCCATACTAGGACGAGGGTGTGATTTTTTCCTCATTTTTCGATCCACCCTCTCCTGCCATTCCCTGGCGATCAGAGACCTCCATCTTCGAGAGGTGAATTGTGAGCCACCCCACCCCTGTATTGTGGGCCCTTCAAGCTGATGTGATAGCATGGGGCTCCGATGTTGGACGTGAACCCCCAAGAGGGCCATCTGCAAGTGGATGGGCCTTGAGGAATACGACACACGTAAAGAAACGCACCTATCCTGCCCAAAGGTCCTTGAAGCAGAGAGGACTGTGTGTTGATTCCTGGTTCTAACGAAGACCCATCTTGGTTGGAAGAGTCCTTGTTCCACAAGATGCCAGACCCGATTTTTGGCTGGTTGGGGAGCGGGTGCTCCCACCTGCGATTCTCTGCTTCGAAAGTCATCGTTGAGCCAGAGAAGGAAGCGCCGCTGCTCAAGCTGGCGTGGGAGCTTCGTGGGGGGGGGGAGGAGCAGGGAGGCGAGCATAATGCAGGAAACTAGGGCAGCTCTCTTGAGCTTCCTCCGTACCGGAGGCCTCAGCAGCAGCGGGACAGCCCCAGCAAACAGGTGTAAAAACATTGGCAGGCATTGGGGAGCAAAATGAGATCGGCAGGGTCACTCGGCCTTTGAGTCGGATTGTTTCCACGGCGGAAAACCTGAGTTGGTTCCAAGCAGCCGTCGAGGCTGGGTTGTGAGCCCGTACGTTCTGGGTTCCAGTGTCGCCACTTGATTTATAAATGGTGATGCTAAGCTGGAAGTGACCATCTCGTCTTCCTTCTCTCCGGCAGCATTCTGACGGTCCCGAGTTTACACAAACCGGTGGTTAAAGGCAATGGCAGGACGGGTTTCTTCCTTTATTTCATCTGTTTCATTTGTGGGCCGCCATTCTCACGCTGAAAACAGCTATTGATTGGAAGGTTAAAAGGCAAATTAAACATATAGTTAAAAAAAAATTAAAAAAGCAAATGATTAATTGTGCAAGCAACATGTATTTAGAAACTTTAAAACTACACCGATAGAGCTAATGCATGGGACTCTTGCCTCCCTCATTAGAGATGCAAAACTGCCAATTTTGAGGGCAGAGCTGATAGAAGGCTTCCAGAAATCCCTCAGGTGGGGATAGGGGTGGGGTGGGGGAACACCTCTAGGTTGAAGAAGGGGAAGACATGGGGAGCTGTTCAGGGAAAGAGCGACCAGGATCTGCAGACAGAGAAATGGAGGGGAGGGGGAGAGAAATGTCCTTGAATCTTCTGCAAGACAAAGCTGGTTCTTCCCATCCTGGCCCTTCCCCTTCTCGGGCACTGGGCTCAAAAGGGGAGCCAGTGGTGTGACTAAAGGATGTCCCCAGGGCTCCTTGCTGGGTTCCTGAGCCTTCATGTTGAGCTCTCTAGCAGTGGATGCAGGCAAGCGGGCGTCCCTTCAACCGGGTTGAGAGCATGAACTGCTTGCTGGGGAGCTGAGCAGCTTAGGTCTCTGCCTGCAGAGCCAGATGTTGGGAATTCGAATTCCCCCCACTGAGCTTCCTTTACTGGGGCTGGACTAGATGATCCACAGGGCCACCTTCCAGCTGTGCCGTTCTATGATAATGGTGATGAATGAGGACCCCCCTGGGCTCTGTGGAGATGCCAAAGGGCCTAGAGATGTCCCCCCCCCCTTCCCTGTCAAAAGTCTGTTCGCATTTTTGTGTGTGTGAGAGAGAAAGACAGGTCCCAGGGCTGACCTGGTTGGATGCCTGGAAAGCCGCCCAGCCTCTGACCCCTGCTTCTTCCCCCATCTTCTTCTGTGCTCCACAGCTGGAGACGGAAGAGGAGAGGCAGCGCTTTGAAGAAGGGAAAAGCCGGTACCTGCAGACCAAAGCCAAGCGCCAGGCAAAGATCCAACCCCTGACTCAGCAGTGACTGCAGCTGGCCGGAGAGGGAGAGGAAGACCTTGGTGTGCATCCTTTTTAGAAACCTTCACTTTGGACAAACCCCGGTTGCGAGACAGATGTGGGGAGGGGGGCAGGCGCACAGGCCCCTCCCTGACACACACACACACACACACACACACACATACAGAATATTGTCCCATTGTAATCTGCAACTGTAGCTAAACCCATTCGGAACACAGCTGGGGAGGAGCGAGCAGGGGAAAGGCAGGGCAGGGGGGGTGCTGACCCCCTTACTCAAGGCAGCTGGAGAGGAACGAGTAGGGGAGAGGCAGGGCAGAGGGGGCGCCGACCCCCTTACTCAAATTTGGGGGGGGGGGTTCCAAGCCTCCCGGTCGGTCTCCAAGCAGGCCTTTGCACAGCTGCTCTCGGTGCGAGTTTTGGAAAGAAATAACCTGGCCGGCATGGGTGCATAGAGCCTCAGATTTAGCCGTGCAAAGAAAACAAGGGAAATGAAAAATATTTAGGGGTGGGGGTATTGCAGGCATTCATAGGTTCAACAATCCTGCCCCTCTCTCTGCTCCCCACCACATACACACACACACACACAATTCTCCGCAGAGGACGACTCATGTCAGCCCTTCGGAGCCCCGCGGCTCCTTTGGCGCTTTGTGTTGTGTCAGATCCTTTCCTGCCCGCAGACATCCAGCAGCTTCTTCACGACAGGCACAGGCTCCCAGCATTCCTTCGCATTCACCTCCGGTGGTCTCTCTTCCATTCCACAACTTCCTGGATAAAAGAGGGGGGAAAGGATATCTATCTATATATATATGTACATGTATGCCAAATTTATTTAATTAATATATTGTGAATAAAGGTGGTACGCCTTCAGCTAGAAGACCAAAGTGGGTTTGTTTTTATTAAAAAATTAAAATAGTGTGGCATTTTCAGCATTTGTGAAACTAGCAAGACGCCGAGCCAGTTTGGGCTGGTGAAGAAATAAAACCTTTTTTTTCCTCTCCTGGTTCTGCACAGCCTCTTCACTGGCAGAATCAACCTCCCTCTCTCTCTCCCTCCCTCCTTGTTTTAGCTCAGCCGCGTCCCTTTAATCTGGGAGATTTGCGCCTGAGCTGCTTAGCAAGATAAATCCTGATATCAGGCGAAGAGGCCTTCCTGCCTGAACAATAGACAGCTACCTTTCCTCCGGGAATTAGCCAGATCAGAAGCTACACCAAATAGCAAGCTTGGGCAGATCTTGACACCTCCAGGACCATCCTCTCTCGGCGAGGAATCGTGCAGCAAACTGGGCCGAGCACGAGAAAAATCAATATATACAGAAGATGAATGGCCACAAGAAGCCAGCTGTCTGAAACGTGATTTGACTAAGGTTGCACCACAGGATTTGAATCCAAGCCCTGTTTCCAAACACTGGTCATTATCCCCCTCTGCACCCTACTGATCAAACAGGGCTATGCCAGATTTACAATTCCCACTGATCTGAGGCTTTCGAAAACCGAAGTCCTAAACAGCAGAATGGCTTGAAACGTACACACAGTCGGGAGTCCTTTTAGCTCAGCTAGATTTTCCTCCAAAACCTAATGTACCTTCTGCCCGAGAGCACATGGGTGGCCCACTCAAATGAGCTGAAGTAATGTCCACCTTTTGCATTCATATTCTCCCGATTAAATAGAATTACAGTATTCATTTAGGACTTTTTTGCCTTTGGGGGGGATTCCAAAACAACATGTGCTAAAATTGATTAAAACTTTGATTTTTTTTCCTCCATTAAATAGAATTATTCATTTTTAGGGCTTTTCTGCGTTTTGGGGGATTCTGAAACAACGTGTGCTAAAATCGATTAAAACTTTCTTTTAAAGCAGATTTAAAACATTTTTCTTAAAGCCAGAATTCTTCTAAAATAATTACCAGAGTCAATTTTAAGACCAGTTTGAAAGACACAAGAACATCAGAAACCACACAGACTTGGTTTTCTGGCAGAGATTATTTGCTTTCCATGGAACAACTGAGTATTTATTGCATCTTAATAAACAAGTGCCACAGTAAAGCTTTCATTACTGAAACCAAGTGGAAGAGGGGAAAACATTATTTTGTTAATTTAGAGAATGTGTATCCCCTGCTCCAGATCATATTCATTCAGAGGAAACTAGCATAAGATGATGATGATGATTCCAGAGGGTGCCAGAGTTGAAAATAAAGAATTGAAAAAATGAACAATGTGCAGAGACTTGGCCGTTGAAACATCTTGCTTGTGGATGGTCCCTGCCGTCATTGGGGCTTTTGGAACAATATCAAGGCATTCCACACTGTGTTATAAGCGGTTGCAGATCTCAGAAATAATGGCATCAGAACAACAAAAAACAGCAATATTAGGAACTGCATACATACTGCGCCAATATTTAACAGATACTTAGGTTTTTGGTTCAAACTTTTATCTGTGATGTAATATCCCAGTCAATGTTTTTATAATCTTGATTGACTGTGTCTGGTGTTTAATATTAATCCTAATAATACAGCATCAGTCAAGAGCAATGGAACCCATAACCTCAAGGGGAGGTTGTGAGCGCTCCAACACTGGAGGCCTTCAAGAGAAAATGGGACAACGTTCCATCAGACCTGCTTTGAGTTGGATTCCTGCCTTGAGCAGGTGCTTGGACTGAATGGTCTTGGGGACCCCTTCCAACTCCATGGTTCTGTCATTCAATTAGTTGTGGATCCAAGTAAGTCTTTGGGGCAGAGGAAGAAGGCACCATGAATGGGCCAACGAGCTTGTGCATGTCAACCCCTAAAATAAATGGGGAAATATCTCTGTTAAGGAGGTCCTCTTCAGATAAATGAAGGGCTACCAGATGGAGGAAGGAGCAAATCTGTTCTCCGCCGCTGTAGAGAGCAGGACCTGAGTGGGTGCATTTGAATCGCGGGGGGGAGGGTGAAGAACCAGCAGATTGGAACAGCAAGGGACTTTTCTGAGTGGGCCGTACGCCATCCTCGGAAAGTCTTGGAATGGACATCCGAGAGCCCTCTGTGAGGGGCGTGGGTTCTAGCTCAGGCGAGTCTAACTAGATGACCCTTGGGTTTTCCCTTCCAGCCTTTTCCTGTGGTTCTCGGTCTCTCTGCTTGGCTTTCTAGGAGTTGCACGAAAGGCAGAGATGACGAGGGCAGGAGGAAGAGGTCCAAGCAGAGTCACCCAGGCAAGCGGAAAAGGGGAAGAGTGCGCCAAATCCCATCGCTCTGGGCTGGCTCCTTGCCCTGGAATGTCACTAAAAAGCATTCTGTTCACCCTGCGGGCAGCCAGAGGCCGCTGGGCGGCAGCCTCTTCATACCCACCATTCCATGCTTCCCATCAGGTTCAATGTATGGAGAAATCTTGCGCTCTCCCTCCCTTCTCCCCCCCCCCAGCTTTGTCTCTGAGCTCCTGGCCCCCTCCTCTTCTTTAGCTCTGTATTTCTTAAAGATGATTCTTGGCAGGCAACCCTGGCTGGCTGGCCCCAGGCCCCTCTCCCCAGCAGCAGGACGCATTGGCGGGAGGGGGAGGAACCATGCGTTCACACTGAATTTTTGACCCTCGAATGGCAACCTATATCCAGTTGAGTCGTTGAGCCTGCAAGGTTCCTGGTGTGTTGGACGTGCTAAATCACAGGGGCATCCGCTCTCACGTGGGCATTAAAGTCCGTTTATTAATAAACCCTAAAGCACCATCCAAACGCTCAAAACTAGCGGGAGGTGACCCAAGAAACCAGACTCTTCCTCCTTCCAGTTCCAGATGGCCAAATCGGTGGCCCTTTCATGCCTGTAGTCAATTTCAGGTGGGTCTCATCTCTGGGGCAAGTCCCCATCAGTTTCACATGGGCTGTTTACCTGCTGAAAATGTAGATTTTTTCCCCCAGCTGGGCTTCTCCTTCTGTGTTTATGCCTGGGGGCCATGCAAGCTTTGTGGCACATATGTGACAGGGGCTCATTACAATTCACCCGCTGGATGGCCCACATGCTTTTTCTTGGCTACCAAGGCATGAGACAGGAGCTGGGTGATATGTGTGTGTGGCCTTCCGAATCCTCTTTGGCTGCCTGTCCTCTGATTTTCAAACCCTTGGGTGTGCCATTTAAGTGGGGTTACATGGGAAAGGGCTGCTCCCAGACTCTGGGCAAAGGTTGGTGGGGGTTCCCCCCCCCTCGCATGGGCAGCATCTCCCTTTATAAGCCTGCTTGAGCTTTCAAACATTCACTGCCTTGTGGCTATATCCACTCATGGAAAAGGCTTCAGGAGTTAACCTCAAGGCAAAATCCGGAGCCGGAGTCCAAAAGGCAGTTCCTGTCGTTCTGCCAACTCCTGCGATGTTGCTGGAACCAGTTGTATTGGTTCTTGCCTTTCCATTGGACCATTTCAGCAATGTGGAGAGGGGGGATCTGCTCCTTGGGTAACAGCCTATCCTCCATACTACTTTACCCAGGCTTCATGCTCTGGAGAGGACACTTCTCGATACAGAGCATGTTACCATAGTCTCTCGAGACTGAAGGATGCCTATGATGATGATGATGATGATGATGATGATGATGAAGAAGACCTGTCTCTTCAGGCAAGCCTTCCCTCAGTGACAGACAGACAGACAGACAGACAGACAGACAGACAGACAGACAGACAGACAGACAGACAGACAGACAGACAGACAGACAGACAGACAGACAGACAGACAGACAGACAGACAGACAGACAGACAGACAGACAGACAGACAGACAGACAGACAGACAGACAGACAGACAGACAGACAGACAGACAGGAAGGAAGGAAGGAAGGAAGGAAGGATGGATGGATGGATGGATGGATGGATGAGAGGGGGAGGAAGGGAACAGGTTATTTCCCAGATGTTTCACCCAGTGGCAATCCCTGTTAGCTCCAGCCATGGAAAACATCTGGAGAACCCAAAACTCCATTTCTTGGTTTGCAAGGATTTTATAATGTCTTTGAAAGCAAATTTCAGCTCCACAGGCAGGTATTGATGCCTCTGCATCTCCTGCCACCCAGAAGCCTGACCTAAAGTTTGGAGGCAGTTGCTCGATTTTAGGTTTAAGCTGTCATCGCTGGCTGCCTCTGCGCTTCATAGCAGGGAAAGGGGGGCTTCGGCCACTGGGTGTGCAAACCAACCATAGAGTGGTCTTCGCACTGCCCGCTTCCTCTGTTGCGGCACAAAGGGGAACTAAGAGAGCCAGCGTGGCATAGGAATTGGACCGGGGGGGGAGAGGCCGGAGATGTGGGTTCAAATCCCCACTGGGCCATGGAATCTCACTGGGTGACCAGCCATACAGACCCCCCCCCCAGGCAGAACTAAGTGGCAGGATTGTGAAAGGATTAAAAAAGAGAGAGAGAAGAAGAACTGAGTTCTTTTCCTCCTGGGACCGAAGGCAGGATAGAAAGATCACCAGCCATCGCTAAGTAAATAAACATTGGCTGATTTGGAGGGGAGAGACGGATGTCGTGAGCCACTTTCCAAAAAAAAGAGAGAGGCCCCTGTTCTCAGCAAAAGGGACGGAGACCAACTTCTTTGCCAGGACGGCTTCAGGCCTGCGTCTCCCGCTGCTTCCCGCCAGCCTGGCCTCGCGAGCAATAGTGCACATGTCTCCGGAAGCATGACAGGGGCTCAGCGCCGGCTTTTCACTTCCAATTAAACATCAAGACGCCTTTGAAGGATGAGTCAGGCATGCCCTTCAGAGTGAGAGACAAAGGGAGTTTGGAGAGATGCAAGAAAGCCACCTTGGGCACGTGGTGGGCCTCGGCCGCATTCCTTGGGGGCTGGCCCTGAGTTTCGCTGGAAGGAAACGGAAAATCTCCAGCCCTTGGGGAATCGCTGAAGGCGGTGATGATGGTGGTGGTCGAATGTTCCAAACT